GGCTCAGTGGTTGGGCATTGATCTATGAACCAGGAAGTTCCAGTTCGATTCCCAGTCAGGGCACATGCTAGGGTTACTGGCTAGATCCCCAGTGTGGGGCATGCAGGAGGCAGCTAATCAATGATTCTCTCTCATCATTGATGTTTCTATCTCTCTCTCCCTCTCCCTTCCTCTCTGAAATCAATAAAATTATATTTTAAAAAAAGAAAGTGTGGAGGAGGGGTGCTCTGTTTCTTGCAACCCACCCTCCCGGCTGAGACTGCTGCCTGAGCTGCCTTCTGCAGCGCCCTGGGCCCGACCACCTCCGTGGAGGCTGCGGCCAGCCCAGAGCCCACCTGAGGCGCCAGGACTTCTGGACACTCTTGGTGCTCAGCAGACATGTCATCAGAGGCCAACCCGACAAGTGCAATCATCTGCAGCCCCCTCCCTGTCCGCTACTGCATGAGGGTTGATGTCCCTCCCAGCATGCCTTGCAACTGAGTTCTTATTGGGCCAAGAAGCAAATTCGGGAAGTAACTTCTATCCTTCAATGACTCATAAAATCTACTTCTATTTTTTTTTAAAGAAGTGCATATGTTCAATCGAAAAGAAAACATTTAAAATAGATGTTTTGCTAAGGAGGCTTAACTGCCTGTGCCCACTGGCAGTTGGGAAATTTTGTGAATGTGGCGGCTGACAGCTGCCCGTGGAAAACCTAATCCCCTCGTGTCGCCGCAGCAGGGTGCCCCCAGCCCAGCTGGACGCGGGCGGCCTCCGCTCACTGCTGCTCCTGCACGTGGCACATCACCTCTCTTACTCCCGCTTCCCGTGCCCCCTTTAAAGACAGTGACCCCACATGCAGAGCCAGCAGGGCATCCCAGCCCGGGAGTCTGTAACGGAGGTGCTCACGCTTATCCCTGTGTGTGCGCTAGAGGACAACTCCCCGAGACCCGTCCATCTGAGGCCGGTTCATCCAGTGAGCAATCTCCAAGCATCCGAGCCCTCGGATGGCTTCTGCGTCTGTCTGGGTGTCCACGCTTCCACCGTGTGGTGCTTTGCGACACCTTTCAAGACAAAGATGGTCACCCATGACCCTCCCTAATTCACACCAACGTTTTGATTAGTCTGTGCCCGTCTCTTCCTGGTTTCTTTCTTTCTTTCTTTTTCTTTCTTTCTTTCTTTCTTTCTTTCTTTCTTTCTTTCTTTCTTTCTTTCTTTCTTTCTTTCTTTCTCTCTCTCTCTCTCTCTCTCTCTCTCTCTCTCTCTCTCTCTCTCTCTCTTTCTATCTTTCTT